GGGCGGGTTCGAACCGCTCCCATACCAGTGTAACGAGCCTGAGGCTGAGGGTGAGCTGAGGGAGAGGAGAGAGAGGGAGAGAGAGAGCACACACACACACTCACTCACTCGGCACGACGGACTCGGACTGAGGGTCGGACGCGGACACAGTGGCAAGGCACAAAGTCAAAGTCTTGGATTCCGAATGCGGAAACAGCAAGTCACACGGAGTACGAGTACAGCAGCAGAGAACTGGTACGAGACTGGTCCCCGTACCGTACCCCGCCCAGCCAAAAAAATCCGACCTCCTGAATTCATGGAGGTCCTTGACAGGGTCGGTAGAGGCTTGGTAGAGCCTTGGCACGCGTTCGGGTGGTAGCTCGTTTCGAAAATGGAAACGAGCGACCGCACAAGATAACAGCAGGCAAAAGACAATAAAAGATACGGAAAAAAGGTAAAGAAAAGAATAAACAAAAAAAGAAGAAGAAAAAAAATGCGTTATCGAACGGGGCAGGCAGTAGAAACGATGAAAGGCCTGGCTGTGAATAGTGCAAAGTTAGAATGAATCATCTGCTAGATCGCGGAATGATACATAGAAGATTGGCATGGCCTTGTGCAAGAAACGTCGAAACCAAAAAGAGCGGATCAATGCTCTGCGAATCTCGGCAGAGGATATGACGCCGATTTTTCTGGATATGGTGAGTGTCAGAGTCACCCACACACCCCGTCGGCCTGGCTGCACTCAATGATTTTTTTTGTTTTTTTTTTGTTTTTTTTTTTTACAAGAAACACCCCCACCAGTGCACTCAATGATTTTCAATTGTTCACGTGCATGAATCTACCCCTACAACATGGAATAATACACGGAAGATTACCCGACCAGCCCTCAGCAAGGATGACACACATAAATCAAGAAATTTTCTAAATTAGTAATAGAAAAAAAAAGGAAAGGTACAGTCCCGACTCTTTTGGATGCGGTAAGTGGTGGAGCGAGGCTGATGCTGCACTGCTGTCAAACTGTCAAACTGTCACGAGAATGAATATTCCACTGGAACGTGGACTTGTACAGGAAAGATTGGCTCTATTGGCCCTGTAGAAGGAATGAGGGCCGCGAGGCTCCTCCTGCAGTCCCAGCTGCACATACAGGAAAAGACGGAAGGGGAAAAAAAAATAAAAAAAAAGGAAATGATAAAGGAAAAAGAAACAAAGCAACAATGAAGGTAAGTACCGGTCGCTCGAATTGGAGGACCAGTCTCCCGCTGTATCCCTCCTTCCAACCAACTGCATTCTCATGGAATGAAGAGGTTCGGTAGGTTGCAAGAAAAAAGGTTCGGGAAGGCTGCTTCGGGGGTACTGGTGGTATAAGTACCGGTGACACATACGGTACTAGGGGCATTTCTGCAAAGGCCCCGAGGGCAGAACTGAAACATGCAGTATTTGAAAGTGGCGCCCGAATTGCAGCATGGCGCCAGTTGTCCAAAATCCTACGGTACCAAAGGAGGGGTTTGGAAAAGGGTGCCAGGCCGAAAACGGGATGCAGCCAAAACAGCAAAAGATAGACCAGGGATCGAGCCCTGGCGAAGTCCGTAACACGCAATTTGAAACGCTGGTGAGCACTTTGCCAGCAACCTTGGCGAGA